TATTTTGGCTATTTTCTCCCCAAGCGAAACCATTAATCATTCTGGAGATTTTGTTGATGATACATTTAGGCGGATCAAGTATTTGTAATAGGTGCATTGGTATGGATCCCAGTACATGTTTAATCAAAATAATTCTACCACCTGAAGACAGCCATCTGTTTTCCCAACCCAGTAATCTTCTTTTCATCTTATTGATCAAATCCTCAAATAGGGCAGCTTTCTTATGCCCTTTATAAAGAGGAACGCCAAGGTATAGTATTGGTAGTGATTGAAATTGAAAACCAGTGTTCTCTTCCACCACTTTTCTGTGGATATCCTTCTTTGTGGTAAAAGAGCTTTTGCTACAATTGATATCTTGTCCAGAGGTAGCAGTATAAAGCTTAATAAACCTCATAATTTTATTCAGAGAAGACTTTTGACCATTGGTGAAATTACAATATCATCTACAAAGGCAAGGTGGGATACTAGAATAACCCCTCCATATCTAAATTGCAGATCTACATTTCTAGTAAATAGGTTATCCAGACCCCTAGATAAACATTCAGCCATGATGATGAATAGCGAGGGTGATATGGGATCACCTTGTCTCAACCCTCTAGTGGATTTGAAGTAACCTTTTAGCTCTCCATTGATCAATATCGAAAATCCGCAGTTATTAATACTCCTTTCGATTTTACTAATCCATTGTTGGTCAAAGCCAAATTTCTCCATCACCTTGTATAGGAAATCCCAGTCAACTCTATCATAAGCCTTAGCCATATACAGTTTTAGTACCACGTTTCCTCCTCTAGTTTTTCTGACGATGCTCTGGATGAACTCCTGAGCCAGAAGAATGTTGTCTCCAATGTCCCTCCCTGGAGTGANNNTGTCCCTCCCTGGAGTGAATCCGCTTTGAGATCTAGAAATGATATTTGGTAGCACTCTATTGAGTCTAGAGGAGAGTATCTTAGTTAGGATTTTATTGACCACATTACATAAGCTAATAGGTCGAAAGTCTTTCCACTCCACAGCCTCTGCTTTTTTTGGAATAAGTATGATGGTGGTATAGGTCATACCAGTAGGAATACTCCTGCCCTTGAAGAAGTCAAGAACAGCATCAAGAAGGTCATGTTTGATAATTTCCCAGCAATGTTGAAAAAATAAGCTAGAAAATCCGTCTAGACCAGCAACATTGTCTTTGTTAATACTGAAAACCGCTTCTTTTATTTCATCCAAATCAGGTGGCCTGTTTAGAAGGACATTATCAGATGGGGAGATCAGCTGCGGGATGTTGTCCAGTAAATTGTCACAGATTTCAGTTGGTTCTCTGGTGAGGATCTTTCCAAAATACTCCACAGCAGAATTTTGTATGTCTTTAGGCTCTTTCAATTCAACACCATCACTAGATATCAGGTTAATGCTACTTTTTGCCCGTTTCTTTCTGACACATGAGTGGAAAAAATTAGAATTCTTGTCTCCTTCATTAAGCCATTTTATTCCAGCCTTTTGTTTCCAAAAGGCTTCCTCCTTGGAGAGCAACATGTTGAGCCTAGCATAAGCCTCATGGGCTTCCATTCTATCCATGGGTGATTTCGTTCTGTCATACTTCATTTCCTTGTTGAGCGCCTCTTCTTCCGCCTTAACAAGCTCCTCAAAGATGTTGCCAAATTTGTCTTTATTCCACTTATTAAGTGTAATCTTGAGCCTTTTCATTTTGAAGTAAAATCCAAATAGGCCTCTAGAGTAAGGGCAAAGTGGCTTTTCCCAGCACCTTTGAACAGTTTCCCAGAAATTCTCATCTTGGCACCACATAGATTGAAATCTGAATGATGTCTTCACATATGATTGAAGGCCCTTACACTTCATCAATATGGGACAATGATCTGATGTGTCTCTGTTAAGCATATCCGCCTCGAATCCATTATATTCAGTAATCCATTGAGCATTAACAAGGATTCTGTCTAATTTTTCCCATATCCTGCCGTTAGTCCAGGTGTAATTGCTTCCTCTAATAGTGTGTTCATCCACTCCACAAGATATCAGCATGTTATTGAAATCTTTTATGGACCTTCTATTAGGGGAATTACCTCCATCTTTTTCTCTCTATTTAATATAGAATTAAAGTCTCCTCCAATGAGCCAAGGAGCTTCCAAGTTCTCAGAGAATGCAGTTAGATCATTCCATAAGTTTCTTCTAAGAACGACAGAGCATTTAGCATAAACCGCAGTAATGTAATTCTCTTTATTTTGCCTTTTGATCTTGAGAGTAAGGTGTTGTTCCTTGTCTTCAATAATTTGGCCTTCAATCTCACCTTTCCACAATCCCCAAATTTTACCATTCGAATTCGCATAACAGTTTTCAAATCCCAGTCTTCTGCAATAATCTTGCACTTGCTCTTTATCTACCATAGGTTCTAACATGAATAAAATAGAAATGTGATGATTTCGAATCAAGTTTCTAAGTCTTTTCATAGAATTGGAAATTCCTCTTAAATTCCAAATTAATATACTGAACCGCATTTTAGCGTTTGGATGGCCTTCCCCTTTTCTTCCTGTTGCTCTTAGGTTTCTTGCTACTAACCTTAATATCTTTTCCATCTGTGGCACTTTGGGTCTCAATTGAAGTTATCCCATCCTCCACTTCTACCTCTTCCTCCTCCCTTTGTATGAATTCAAACGATTTCTGTTTTTCCAGTAAGCTGCAGTTGGAATCATATAAAGCCTTATTTCCAATTATTTCTTCTGGATCAAAGAAGCTCTGATCTAGACTGCTCTTCTTATTTTGTACATTTACCTCCTCCATTGGAAACTCTTTGATAATTTCCACACCAATCCTTTCCACCTCTTCACAGTTTTGTAGACAATCAAAATACCCTGGTTTTATCTGCAAACTCAGATCCTCATTGGTTGTGTTGGTATACTCTTCGGCCTTGTTTCTTGTTTCACTAGCTTCCACAATAATCTCCTTCGGGTAATGTCTTTCTGATTCAGTGCCTTAGTGGTAATTTCTCCTTCCTCATGTTCATTTATCTTAGAACATTCACCTTTCAGCAATTCAACTTGTTTCTTAATTTTCTCCCCTTTTTTTTATAAAGATCCATTCCTCCTTCCCTTTATCTTTAACTAGATCTTCTCTAGTTTCTACCTGCTTATCTTTAACTTTGGTCCCTGTAGTTTTCTTCCAGTAACAATTCCCAATTTCATGACCCACATGTTTACAGAATGAGCAATAACGAGGCTGGTCTTCGTAAATAATTTTCTGCCAAACTGCAAAAGTTTCATTTCCAATTCTAATTCTATCTAGTTTCGGTCCATTAACATTCATTTCTACATATATTCTGGCCAAATTGGTTCTGGTTTTCTTGGCGGTCTGTTCATCAATCTTTAAAGGAGTTCCCAAAACAGAGGCAATTGAGTACAAAATAGCTTTGTCATAAAATACCAACGGCAAATTGGGTAATGCAATCCAAATAGGCACTATTGGCGATTCCTTTTGTGGATCAAAATCATACGTATATTTCAAGATTCTCATTGTTGTTCCCAACATATACCATACTGGTTTCGAGAAAATTCGATAGTAATCTTCTTCTCTTTCGAAGTTAAGGAGAACATGTTTACCATCCAGATTCCCCACCTTCACTTCCCCTCCGAGTTCAAAAGCGTTCAATGCTTGAATAATCAAGTTAATTGCAGGTTTTTTTGTGAGAGAACTTACCCACTAATCCATGTTTGAACCATTGCGATAATTTCTGAATTTCTTCCTGAGAAACTTGGATGAACGACTTATTCTTGAAGATAGCAGCATCTCTGACCTCCACGGCTTCCGATTTTAGATCTCTGGCAACATCTTCAAATGATCTTTCCTTCGTAGTAGCTAGGCTCTGTTTGCCTCCTGCTACATCTGCATAGGTCTTCCGAGCTGGGATTTCCCCTTCTTGGGTCATATCCTTTAAATTTCGGGCTGATTCAGTCGGAAATCTTGAAGGATTTACAGGAATTGCTTACTGTGTGAAATGCCGTATTCAGTGTGTGTTTTTCAGTTACTTTTTGAATTTAAATCTTGAAATGTAGGGTTGAGTGTAATTACCACGTAACATATTTACGGCCAAAATGGTCTTAAAAAACCCACAATTATCCAAAAATATTGTTGGGGCATATTTGGGTCGGATTAAAATCTAATTTTAATTTAAGTCAAAGTCAAATAATTAATATTAATTACATCTTTTGTGCATCCTACAATTTTTCAACTACACATTTTAGAAACTTCTATCACAATCCGCCAAAAATTGCCAAACACCTGTTGACATGTAAGCCAGAGATCCGGTTCAAATCGGAGGCTCGGAGCCCCGTTTCATTACAGATAAATGGTAAAATTCTATCCATTTAATAAACTTGAGGTTGCACTCCAACTCTTCAAGCTTCAATACATGAAAACCCGGCCGTTCAATTCTAGGTACATCTTCCAAATGGAGATAAATGATTAATTTTTTTCTCCATGTTATAACGTTCACATAAATGGATTGTTTTAATTTGTTTCTGTAGTTTTATGCTAGTAATTGTGTTTTTTCTTAATGGGATTCTGCAGAATATGAAATTTAACTCTTTGTATAATTTTGGGTTCTTACAAGGACTGTCTCCCAATCCAATATGTGTTTATTTTACATGTAGACACGTGTATGCGTGTCATGGTTGTTGTATACTGTTTTGCAAAAGCTGTGTATGATTAGAAGAATTTCGAATTTTTCGACAAATTGAGTTTATGGGTGATTTTTATATGAAAATTTGACTTTTCTTGCTTTAATTTTTGATGCAGAATTTAGTTAGGCCAAATTTTTGTTTTTCATTTTTTGTATTGGATTATGGAAATTGAAATTTATAAGCAGATTTTCAGGTGAAATGATGGTAAACTCTGCTGTACATTCCCTTTTATTTTGTCAGTTTCTTAGAAAGTGCTACTCCTAACTTGTTTGTGGTGCGCGTGACTTTTCTATTTCTTCCCCTTTTAGTTAATTACAGGTAGAAATGGTCATAAAGAGTTTGTTCAGGAGATATGAAAGGTGGAATCC